CTGAAATTGCTGACATTCTTATGATATCTCTAGTACTGACACTCGGACAAGAGGTAGGTCGATGTTATTACCGAAGCAGCCAACTCGCTGAGAATGATGTTGCAGATTGAACTGATCTGGGTAAGTTAAGATGACAGAGTCCCATACCAGAAGAAACTCAGGAGAATACAATTCGTTCGAGACAGAGGCAACGCTGGTCTTTCGTGACTGTGCTGTATTTGGTTGTTCGTACCTCATGTTTATACACTAGCGTGATTGGCGGTTGTGCTGATTCCAAATGTTCAAGATACGTTATATTGGAATACCATGTACTTTGTATGTGCCGAGGTCAACAAATTGGTACTGCGTTAATAGCTCACCTCTGACAATTAGTGCCAATGTTTTGCGTATGTCTCATATGCATTGTGTTTGATTCCTCTGACCGGCGGCACACAGCAAATCTACGATCGGTCTCCCTGTCAGATGCAGTGAGTATTCCGTAACAATCTCATTCTTATCCAATGAATACGCCCCTATGTAGGAGTGAGTGAGATTCTAACTATTGAACTTAGCTCAACATGATGTCTCATTAGGTGTGAGTCGGAGTGTTTGATCTTAGTACAAGATGATCACTAATTGAGTGTTTCAGGCAATGTTATGAACTACGTGCTGAATGGGGCGAGTGTGGTCATGACTACCACGTTGGGCGGTGAGTTACCCAGTTGCGATACCTCTATGATATTGACTCGGCTGGATCCCGATCCAAGTCATCATGATTGCTCGGTTACATGGCATGTATCAGAGATCTAGAATGATGTTTATCTTTCTTGTTATTGTCTTCCTGGCTGTTAACATCACCTGCGGAGTAATCGTGGCAATAGCATTCAAGCACACCACAGCGGGTAAGCTTTACTTGTTGACTTGAAGAACACAGTTCATTTGGCGAATACCAGAGGTGTTAATACTCTCTGGCGCATATATGTGCAATTATGGATTTGAGGGAAATGTCCAGCTTCTGATTTCAATGGTTTGGATGCTCAACACTGTTTGGGAGGTCCTCGCACTGTGTCTTGCAGTCTGGATTGCTGTGAAACACCTCCGTGATCTGCGACGATTCGGCCCATCGACAGGATCGACCATCGGGGATTGTTTCAGAGTGCTGATACAATCTCACGTACTTTATTTTGCAAGGTGAGCTTGTAACGTGATATTGTTATCTTTTTATGCTAAAGTTCCGCACGCGCTAGCTTTGTTTGTGTCTCTTGCCTCCAGCTTAGTGTTCTCTCTCCAGAGTTCGCTGTGCGTTGACCTGTCGCTGACATCTGCTTGTAACCACTGCTCACCATTTCTGTAGAATTCACAGTCTATGGGAGCTCTGATACTCGACAGTGTTCTTCAAATTTTCTTCAGCGTGCAGATGTTTGTGCTGGGACCACGCCTCATCTTTAGCGTACGAGAGTTTCACGCTAAACTCGTAGCCGACTTCGATGCAGAAACTAGCATGGCTTCGATTGTCTTCCAGGAGCGTGTACATGTACCAACTAGCAGTACTGTGTAGGAAAATGCTTACTGAATGACCACGAGAAATTTGGTCGAGGATCCGTGGTGGTATTATGAAAGGTCTAAGCAAACCTATCTCTTGTTTCATCACTGATGGAACGAAGAAGCTGCTCACCCACGCTTGCAAACTGAGATTATCCGGAACATCTGGAAACCAACCCAGTCCTTCATGCCAGTACTAAAATACAACGAGTATCAGTACAAATCGCCCAGGCAGCTGATTCTACATCAGAGTCGCACTGCGGTAGCGTTTACCAAGTGACTGTCTGCAGAATACGCGTTAGATTTGCATTAGGGTCCTCGCAATGACCTGCTCAATGGAGTCCATCCTGCTAAACGCGACCGTCAGAATAAAGCGCTAAACGAGATACAGACACGCATATCCGTTATGGATCACTTTAATGAATTGTCTGATAGAAGGTCACGGTGGAAGATGCATTTTGCAGGAACATGAAAGAGTACTTATCACGACACCTCCCACGTGGGCCGTTGGAACGACCAATAAGGAATTCAACATGTGGGTGCCGGTGACCAGTGCTATATCGAACGAATCAACGCAGGATGATCATGAGGAGAATGAAGTTCCGGGGAGCGGCTATGTATATGATAAATGTAAATGATTACAGGTATCGATGGAGACGCGAGCTGTGTATCGATGGCGGGAAGTTGTCTTTTATGGAAGGAAGGCTTAGATTCGAAGCGGGGGTGTTCGATTATGGGCATTCCGCATGACGGACAAAGTCCAACCGGTACCCCGCACTAAATGGAAGCATGGTGGATCAGAAGAATTGGATGATGGAATAGATGCCGGGCTGGATAAGGCTTCGGTTAGACAAATTGGAAGCTTTCGTGATGTCAAAGATACCAATCGTGGAATGTGTTGGTGGATCAGATGAACATCAGTACAAGCTTACGATATAGACGACTCGCGACATACTTAAATTTAACATACGAACGATGGAGGAACTATGTCGAGAGGATCTGTCACGTTTACATTTATCGGGAATCAGATCGCCGATTCTGCTGGAACTCCAAGTATTGCAGTCAAGCATTCATTTGATTTATCTAGATCGAGCGAATTCTCAGCGAATGCGACATGTCAGAATTTGGCTTGGAATCTACAAGTTTGGTTCAAGGGCGTGCCTGGGAGGCGTTAGAGCGTCTCTGGATGGACTCTCCGTTGATGGCCCTTGTCCACGTGGTTTACCTTCGACGGCACTTTTGATTCGAGCCCTTTCTGCTAAATGAATGTATATAGGATCGCGGATATGAGCGGAACGGGGTTCTTCGGCATTCGGTCGGTTTGACACAATTGACTTGGAGACAAACTTGCCCATATCTTGCACGTTCGTTGAGGTTTTCCGTTGACTAGCGACTCTTTAAGGTATCGTGAGTATTGCAATATACTTCATGTGCACTGATGATTGAGTAGACATATATACGAACTTATTGAGAGAGAGATGTTGATCGACAGCCAGAGCGACCACGACAATCTGAATTTTGTAGAAATATACGTTGATCGTAGTCGCTCTGGATTACTATGTAGTGGCGTCCCACCCAGCAACTCCCCAACACACCGCCCAAACCGTGCATCGATTTAGGATCCCTATGATCTATCAAGCCCAGACAGCTGATAAAGGGAAGTCAAAGTATCCTATTGACCTCTGTTTATCATCTGTCTGAGCACAAAGCAGACGAAGAAGTGACCCTTATTCGTGGAAGCCCTGGTGGCTGATAGGGTGTGAGATCACCGACGACGATAATATCACCAACGCATCATCCATCTGGGCTGCGGAGAAGTAGTAATGAATTGTGCGTGAAGAGTGGATGTAATGTGTAAGATTGGCCATCGGATATCCAGATCAGTTTAAAAAGGAAACTTACGGCTCGAGTATATGCCTTCGTCACGAATGCGCGTGATAAAGTCATCGGGCGTGGACCTGGTAAGTGGGGAGTAGAGAAGAGAATCAGAGCTTTGAGTCAGAAAGCACCAAGTGTGCCTGCGAAAGTATGAGTAAGCTATCGACCGCGAGATTCTGACATGCATGCATACACCAGTCAGAGTAGATCTGAATCAGGGCCCTTACGACGATCTGTTTCCATCCTGCAAAGTAGCATGACTGTCAGAGTAAAGCACCGAACGAGATACATACATACAACACACCCGTCGATATTGATCAGAGTCGCCCTAGAGCGAGCAGATGACAATTTAAAGTAAACCCTGCTTAAAATTGTCACTGCTCGCCTAGGTTGTACGCGAGTAACGTGTCTGAGCCCAGACAACTGATTTCCATATTTAGAATGCCCCGAATTATCAGCCGTTTGAACATAAACACCAAAGGAAAGTGTGCACGGTCCATGGAAGCTCGGGTGACTGGTGACGCAATGGCTCTGTCGCATATAATGTATTATATGAAGTCTTACTAGCAGCATATCTATCAGCGTAAATCGTCGAACGAGATTATGACATACGGACACCTACAAAATTGAGAGTGGCCCTGGAGTAGCGTATCGAAGGTCAGACAGCTGCTAAAGGAGATATCGCAAGAACGAACGAAAGCATCTTATCATCTGTCTAAGCACAGAGTGATCGTTATCCATAAAAGCCCAGATGGCCGATGACACCATGACAATGAAGAAACAATCACAGCATGGCACTATCGTTCATCCGAACAAACCAACAGAGAGCGCATGGACTAGAAAGGGAAAGGCAAAATAGCGCGTCTGTGCTCGGATAGCTGATAGAGCAAGTATCGAAAACACATCCTCATTTTCACCTGTTCGAGCACAAGGAAAGATGGGGAAAGGGGAACCATCTGAGCCAGAGAGCGTGAATGGCGTGCATGAGATCGAATAGTTCTGTCTGAGCATAAAGCAAAGTGACGGTGGTTCGTCAAAGGGTAGATGGGTGATGACACACCATTCCAGCTCTCCCACTGCCATGCTGTCTCATCATCCAGTGCGAGTGGTGGTGATTGTTCGCAAGACACAAGCAAGGTAACGTCTGCGATTTGAACTTGAAAAGATGGTTGTAAAAACGAGTAGTGAGCTCAGATGGCTGATAAAGCAATGAAGCGCTCAAACTCTATATAACCATCTATCTGGGGCGTGTGAACGATGAATGCAAAGAGTAGAGAGGAGCGGGGTGTAAGGGACCGAAGGAGTAGATCAAGCTACCAGATCGGAAATATCGTAAAGTAGAAGAATTAAATTGAGTTTCCAGTGACATCTTGATAGCGGCGATATAAGGGAGATGCGACCGATTCCCGAGCGTACGACGGGCGGGAATCTTTATCGGGAATTGGATCGCCGATTCTGTCTAGTAAGAAAAAGCAAGATATTTTTTGTTGAATTGAATTTAAATTTATCTAGATGGAACGTGTTTTTGGTGAGGCTAGATCCGAGATAGTCCACGTGTTTTGTATTGATTCTCCGCTTTTGTAAGTAAAAACGCAGGGAGAACGCCCTTCACCCCCAGCCGCCTCCTCGTCTTCTCGTTCAAAGCTTCAATTGTCAAGGACGTTTTTACCACTAGAGTGTAGGCTGGCAACGGTTTTATTTTTCAGATTTTAAAGGTCAAAATATTAGATCGGACATCTGGTTTCAGATCTCACCGCCGAGCATCGGGAGATCCATGGCCTCACCAGCTCGTCGTGCAAGACCTCAAGTCACCGCAGAAGTTCAAGTCAGACTACCACCAATAAAATCATTACAACTAGCACACACAACAACAGAACAAGACACTGTATACCCAACCCCACTAAGCGCTGCATGGCCTCCAAATCAACAATTCGCAAGAACAACTCCCCTAGTACCAACAACACTAGATCCAACAGCCTATCCAACTCCAATCTCTGCACGTCCACACAGAAACTCATATCCACAACAATTCCAAAACTCTTCATTTCACTACGTACCACCAACAACCGCAGAAAGTACAACAAGCACTTCAAGTTCAACAAGAAATTTCTTAGACGACAAGACTCTTCCATTCGCTCATGACAGAACTACCACCACCTACCCCCGCTATCAACATCCACCACGTGACCCACAACAACCAGACGATCGAAGCGTGTACACTCCCGCAGAAGCACGCGCAGCCTACCAGCCCAGCCCTAGCCCTTACACACAAGACACACGTCCTTATCCACAGGACCCGCGTTACACCCAAGACCACCCACGTCCACCCTACACCAGCACTCCTGACCCTAGGTACGACGCACGTGCAACCTACCCAGCTCAAGATGCGAGGACTTACCAAGACCCGCGGTATCCGGATCCGCAGAGGGCGTATCCGGCTGATCAACGAAGCTACCAGACCAGCCCTGAGATCGAGAGGGCCTACCAGGATGCCCGTTATCCGCCTCAGGACGCCCGCGCAGCCTATGACGCGCGCTATTCCGATGCCCGTGCCTATCCTCAGGAATCGAGGCCCTATGTGCCTCCGCCGCAGCCAGCTCCACCACAGCCCCAAACGCAAGACACGCGATACACCCCCACACAAGAACCCCGAAACACATACCCTCCGCCCGCCCCTCCCTACCCGCCAGCCCAGGATACGAGACCATATGCACCGCCTGTAGAGCGTACTTATTCCCAGTCCCATACGGAGGTCCGGGGGTATCCGGTAGAGAGGCAGCAGCAGCAGTTGGGTTATTCGCATGATGCGCAACAGGGAAGGGCGTCATCTGTGCTAGAACCGCAGCCACAATCACAATTACCTCACTCCCAACCTCCACGCGAACAACGCGGCTCAACTTCCAATGATCGTAATTTAGGCGTAGTTGAGCCTCGCGCCGTAGAAGTCAGGCCTACTTTGTTGCAGAGGCAGTCGGTTGGTGATGCGAGACCTCTGGCGGTGGAGACAAGGGGGGTGGGTGTAGGGTTGGAGACGCAAGTGAGAATGGAGACACAGCCGAGGGCGGTGGGCGTGGAGACGCAGAGACAACCAGCATTCGAGTCACAGAGGGCACCTACATTCGAATCGCAAAGGCCACCCGCGTTTGAGTCACAGAGACCACCTGCGTTCGAGTCGCAGAGGCCACCAGCGTTCGAGTCACAGGTTAGAGGTGCGGGGGCGGAGACACAGACACAGACGCAAGGAAGGCAGGCAGTGTTTGAGCCTCAGCCGAGGCAGGCGAATTTGGAGACGCAGGGGAGACCACCAGTATTCGATACCCAGACGAGATCTACGGCGTTCGAGTCACAAGCAAGACCGACGTTCGAGCCTCAGAGACAGACGATGCTTGAGCCTCAGCCAAGATCCACAGTTCTCGAGTCGCAAACAAGACCTGCACCATTCGAAGCTCAGTCAAGAACTGCGGTGCTCGAATCACAGGCAAGACCACCTATGATGTTGGAAGGTCCAGCAAGATCTACGGGGTTCATTTCGCAGTTACAGTCTCAGTCACAAGCCCAGTCCCAGGAATCTCAACGGGTAGCAGGAGATGAGAGAATGGGCAAGGAAGATGTCATTCGGGAGGTGAGTCTTTTTCCCCTCTACTCTTCTGTCTTGTGTTTGATGATGGTGGATGAGTGTGGACGTGATGCTGATATTGGTTCTTTAGATCGTTCAGCATTGTACTGCGCTTTATAAATTTGCAGATCATTATTGTGAGTTCCTGTCTTGTCTCTCCCCTTTAACTCTCTTCCACGTCAATCCCCACTCTCAACACTAACCTCCCTCCCACAGCTGCCCTCCAATCCTCCAACCCACACATCCAACCACCCCCAGAACAACTCGCAGAAATGACAGCCCGCGCAGGAGAAGTCGTCCGTCTCCTTGAAGCACTCCGAAGCGACACCCCCATCTTTCCATCCTCCCTCCTCTCCGCATCGGCATTCGCTTCCACATCTGGACCCCACGCACTCGTCTCAGTCCACCCCCATTCCCTAGAAGCAACCGTCAAAGGACACATGACCTCAAGCTCTAGTCTAGGAATGGGCATAATGGACGTAGACGCGCCCGATCGGGCACCAAAGCGGCCTTGGGAGGATGTAGAAGGTATGCTACCTCCCGGATCTGGGCCTGGTATTGCCCCGTCTTCATCGGCAGGGCATGTTCATGTTCCTCTTGTATCTACACCGGGGTTAGGACCGGCGCAGATCCCTGGAGCGGCCCTGACACAAGATCAAGACCGATCGATGGCCGAAGCGGATATGGAGCTTATAAGAACCAAGAGAGCGCTTACGACTATGGCGGCCGCTGCTGCGTTGGGTGGGAACGGGTCTGGAGGGGGTGGAGGGAAGAATAAGTATCGGAAGCGGAGTGTGAGTCGTCTATGTTTTACTTGGATGTTGTTCGGTGTTTGACCGTGGTGGATAGCGCGCGACACCTCCTGGAAAATGTCATTCTTGCAATATTCGAGAGACGCCAGAGTGGAGACGGGGACCGGACGGTGCGAGGACGTTGTGTAATGCGTGTGGGCTGCGTATGTGATTTTTGTTTCTTTTGTGGGATTAGTTGTTGATGGCTCAATTCCCCATCCGCGCGCTCAGACTACGCGAAACTCGTGCGAAAGCGCGAGAAAGCCCTCGCAAATGGAGAATCGCCCTCGATCCAGCGCATCGACATGGAGATGTTACGTGCGAGTGCCAGAGCTGCTGATGCTGACAAGGGGGCACGTGCTGCATTAGGAGGGGCCGGATCTGCCGGTGGAACTGTCATGAATTCAGTTGGCGGAAACGGACACGGGAGTGGCAGCGGCAGCGGAAGTGGTAGTGGTAACGGCGGAGGAGATGACAAGATGAACCTAGGCATCCACCAGGGCTCGTTCCAGATCAACACAGACCCTGGAGATGCGATGCAGGATCAAGATCACAATCTAAATTCTCAATCGAGCGCAGGTGGGAGCGGGAGTGGGAGCGGGACGTATGCCCGTCCTCCGCGCCCTGCGAACTCGAAGCGTTCGTCGTCGACTAGGGTGATACAGTCCCCTGGGATTGGTGTTGGCATGGGCGGTCAACATCCATCTGCGGGCGTTCCGCATCACCCGTCTGGGCAGACGGCGTCCATGTCTCATCATACGACACCTTCTGGATCTCATTTGTCAACGCCGTCTCACCACCAGACACCATCTGCGCAACACCATCAGACGCCGTCTGCGCATCATCAGACGCCATCTGCGCATCATCAAACACCATCTGTGCAACATCACCAAACGCCATCCATTCCCCACCACACGACCCCTTCTATGACTCATCAAACTGCTAATTCGTCATCGGGGTCTACGTCACGTCACCCACCTGCTGCGTCTCATACGCCTGTAGCACAGCCTGCTTCTCAGGGCCATCATCAGCCGACAACGCAGGGACATCATCAATCTACTGCACAAGGGCATCATCAATCTGCGTCGGCTCAAGGGCATCATCAGCCAACGGCGCAAGGACACCATCAATCTACATCCGCACAAGGGCATCATCAATCTGGGTCCGCGCAAGGACACCACCAACCCCACCACCCTCCGTCTCGGGCTGGACCACCGCCTACGCCGCCTTGGTACCTGCCCGCTACTAATCAGCCGCATTCGATGCTGAGGCAGTGAGGATTGGAGGGTCAATAATTTTAGGTTTCCATCGTTGCCCACAATAAGGAAGGGGCACGATGATATCACACTGGTTACCTGAGGGGTTATACCTATTCGTGATGGTTATGATGATATCACACTGGTTGCCCAAGGGGCTATACCCATTCATATTGATGAGGTTCGTACTCATCAATCTACCACATCGTTTTTCAATTTCTTTTGCACATCTCAAATTTTCCGTGTTGTTCTTTGTATTACGCATCGCACTGCCCATCTACTCGCTACTCTGACTTCTTTCAAGACTTTGCTTCGTCAACGTTTCAAACGCGCTGTTGTAATTCATCTTCTCTGTTGCATCTTTCATCACCCCTGCACCCCTGTCTGTTCTATATGTATATCACATATAATGATTTGGTTCTGTAATGAACTTGTAATTTTTTTTGGCTGTTGCCTAGAGTGTAATCCATGATATGACGATGCGTGTTTTTGCTCTCTGATGATGTGTTTTAGAATCTGAGTATAGTTCCTACTTACGAATTCGAGATCTAAGAAATTTTGGAAGCACTCGGCTAGATCTAGATTGATCGGGGTGAAAGGAATCCGCGGAATAGAAATCTCGATCGATTTGGGGCGTCAACATGTCATTCTCGAAAACGTGGCATCTAATCGATCGTGGAGATCCTTATCGTTGTTTATCAGATCTTGTCTTTGCTATCAATATAGATTTGGCCATCAGTCTATGTTAATAGTGGGTATTAGTACTATCTTTGCATGGATATCTTCAGGCTGAATGATACGATCACTTGCACACGGAATTGAGGTGATTGGTGTACTTACCATCAAGTTGATTGATCTGGAGAACTTGTCAGAAAATGATCCTGTACTTTATCATATAGCCATTGATATCGTTCTCTGGCTTCGAGTCCCCTGATCTCCATAATATGGTCAGGTGATTTCCAGAGAGTCTGGACCTTGACGTTGAGTATCTTCTTTTCTAAAACTGGGAAGCTCGACCATTGCAATAATGCTGGTATTGGCCTTGGAAGCTTTGTGTTGGGCCAGGCTTTTGATGTGGTTGTGGTCCAGCATTGTCAAGCTTGTTCGAGATCTCCAAAGATTAGTTTTTGCTGTCATAAACTGCCATGACAGTCCTGGCTCAATCCCAACTACGTTCCCTATTCTTCCTGTCGTCTTGACAGTCTTGTGGTTTAAAATAAATTACTTATGAGGTGCTTCAGATTTAATCACCATATTGACACAGTGCAAGGATATTACTCCAGAATCATACAATGTTTTATATGCTTTGAATATGTGAGCTCTACATTGATCCATGGATGCTTTGACCCTCTCACCTTATATGATTTGATTGCATCTCGCATAATGACTGGGCCAAAGTACTTCTACTTCATTAAAATCACCCTCTAATTCAGGCAGCCAAGCTCAAGTGATAGACAGCGAGATTTACAAGTTAGATGGTGCACACTGCATAACATAACAAGTCGAACAAATGTACATAGCCAGGGCTCGGATAAATGATGTACAGGCTGAGTGTGTTGGCTCAGCAGAAACAGACAGCAACGCACAGCTTTAAGTTCATATGGGAATGTTCCCACGCATCTTCAAAGCCTCCTCACTGAGACTCTGACCATTGAGTACCTTTGTGCTCGTGCATGTCGTACATCGCACCCTGTTGCTACACCTTGCATATAGGTAACTGTATGTTTGTTCCCATATGACAAGCCATGTTGATAATTCAAACACCATTCAGTCTGACATCGAGTTCACAAGCCTCACGGTTGAAGCACATCCTGTCAGAGCTGTCATTAGGAGAATAAAATATCTTTGCCAGCAGCTCACCCAAAAGAAGGTCGCCATTATGAACCTCCACGAGGAGCTTGTATCCGATTTGTGCTGCTTGCCAACTGAAGTCCCTTGTCATATTTTTATTTACTGTTTTCCCCAAACTGGCTGCACATTGCCCGATTTGAAATCACCTCTGTTACGGACTAGGATAGTCATAACAATCAGCAGCTTGATAAGAGTGACGGCTGATGTTATAGTCAAGTCTTTGCAAATGCAAAGATCATAAGACAAGGCAAAGAGAGTGTCTTTGACTTGAATATCAATTCAGATGACTTAGGATTGGAGGTCCTAAGCGAGAGAAGTTCTGGTTAAAAACCTAGTAAGATTAAAGTGAAGTCCTACTAAGTACATGACCGGGTATATATAGTAGGTGAGTACTTTAGGGCAAGTACAATGAGTCAGAGATAAGGACGAGTCAGAGATAAGGGATGAGTCATCTAGCAATGGTGGTAGTGATCATGATGTAATACAAGCAAACTAAAGAAAGGGATTAGTCATCCTAGTGACAGCAGTAGCAATCATGATGTAATACAAGTAAGTAAGAAAAATGAATAGGGGTGTGTGTAACTGTAACATTACCCCTGGTTTAGGAATGAAGTCACCGACTTCAGTTATCCTGGTTAGCCCAGTAAATAGGGTCAGCATTGTAGTTTGAGTCCAACAAGTCGTTTTGTTCTTCAGTGATAGGGAGCGACCTATCAGCTAGTTCAGCAGTGTGGTAAATGGCGTCTTGCTCAATCTCCCAATGAGCAAGGGCTTCATAGAAACTGGGATCAGTCCAAACCAGTGGAATGACCGCTTCTCCTTTCAACTCTCTACAAAAGACCGATAGGTGTCTGGACACATACTCCTTGCAAACCCGACAGTAGTACACCGGGCAGTTCTTGTGGCGATGTCCGGCAGCATGGCAGTTACAACATACAACATTATCAACTGTTGCTGTTTTTACTGTAGTGACGGTGGTTGACTGTTCTGGGGGAGAGGGAGATCTCGATCATTTGTGCGTCTTGTGTGGGGAAACTGATGTAGCTTGCTTGGCGGCAATGTGGGAGGATCTATGCCTAACAGGGTATCGACGTGTAGTGGGTGTGATGGGGATAGGAGATGGAGAAGCTGGTACATCAAGTACAGCAATAGGAGGGATATTATTATCCTGATGCTCAGTGGTAGTTGTTGGAGGGATCGGTGGTGGGACTGGAATGGCAATATGCGAAGAGGGAGGACGTGCAACTGGGTCAAGAGCGATTCATTCTGTGATGATATGAATAGCTTCTCTGATAGCTTCTCTAGTATCATCAGGCAACAGGCGGATTGCAGTATTATGAATGCATATATGAAGATGACGGAAGATGGTCTTGTGACGTTCATCATCAAGAAGATTAGTGGTATGCTCAATGAGGCTAGCATCCCTGATGATTTGGATAATGAGCCCGCTAGATATTGCTCCTCTTTCTCCTAAGAGACAATCTATGTCTATAGCGTATTGTTGGGATGTGATAGCAGATTCAAACAGAGTGCTGGTTTCGACTTGGTCAATGATTGAGAAATAATCGGTAAGGATAGAGTCATTGGTTAGGGTAGAGTCCGATGATGATGGGGAGATGACTGGGGATGATGCATTGGCGTTGAGGTCAGCAGCAGTTGTGGTTTGGTAGTTGATCAAGGATAATGGGTGGGCGATGTTTTCAGATATGTCGTTCATAGCAGTGGTGAGTTCTTCAATCCGTTAGATACAGAGGCGTAGGTGTTCAAGGGACATTGTTCTGGGTTTCACAGTTTATGAGCCTTCTTATATGCAGTAAGGATGTCGGTAGCATTGCTAAGGTTTTCTTCTGGAACCCATTCATTACTGGCGGAAGAGTAACCTTTCCAGGATAGAAGATAGCATCTTCATTTACCTGCACCTTTGTGCAATAAGATCACATCAATTTCATATTCTTCTTCATTATCAATGACGTCTGGGGGTGGATCATGGAAGTTTGGACCATGGACCTCTGTCTCGTGATAGGATGATAATTCAGAAGCATAGAATGTGGGGTGAACTTTCCATTGTGGCAGTAGTTGGAGTGTGAACGTGATAGGGGAGAGAACAGCAATAATCAGGAAGGGGCCATATCGCTTTGGTGCAAGCTTCCGTGATGGTAACTATGTGATTAGATTCTTTCCCGATAACCAAACCTTATCTCCTATCTTCCATGGGTGATATTTCTGTCCATGAG